GGTCCGATTCGGAGCTTTGGGATAGTTGATGCGAACGGTGTGATGTCAGACGATTTCGAGGTGGGAGAAGTTGAGAATGATTCTGTGGAAGATTGGGGGAATCAGACGGAGATCGTTGAAGGGAAAAGAGACGGCGAATCTAGGGTTAAGTTTAGGATTAAGAAATTTGGAATGTGTCCTGAGAGTATGAGAGAGTATATACCTTGTTTGGATAATACTGAGGCGATTAAGAAGCTCAAATCGACAGAACGAGGGGAACGATTCGAACGGCATTGCCCTGAGAAAGGTAAAGGCTTGAATTGCTTGGTACCTCCTCCTAAAGGTTACCGTCAGCCGATTCCATGGCCTAAAAGCCGTGACGAGGTACTCCTTTGTTTGCAGTTTTGGTTCTTGAGTTTATGGTTTTACTATTTGCTCTAGTAACATTGCGAATTTTCGGTCAAAATGTTCGTTTCTGATTTGATGCTATGAGCAACTAAAGCTCCAGTAGAGTTTCTGCATTTGTCCTGAGCTTTGCTAAGATAGTATTTGGAATTGATTGCTTAAGCTGAAGATGAGTTTTTTTACGGATAGGTGTGGTTTAGCAATGTTCCTCATACTCGGCTTGTTGAAGACAAAGGCGGTCAGAACTGGATTTCACGAGACAGGCGAGACAAGAACAAGTTCAACTTTCCAGGAGGTGGTACACAGTTTATTCATGGGGCTGACCAGTACTTGGACCAGATCTCTAAGGTTGCTTATTTTTCCAAGTTGTAGTTTTGGTTCGTGTCATTTTATCTATTTACCTTTTCATCTGATGTTGAACTCCGACTTTGTGTCTGCAGATGGTTTCTGATATCAAATTTGGCAAGCGTACTCGGGTTGCTCTGGATGTTGGTTGTGGTGTGGCGAGTTTTGGTGCTTATCTTTTGGCACGCAATGTGTTGACAATGTCGGTTGCACCAAAAGATGTCCACGAGAACCAGATTCAATTTGCTCTTGAGCGTGGTGTGCCTGCTATGGCAGCAGCATTTGCTACAAGGCGTTTGTTATTTCCGAGCCAAGCTTTTGATCTTATACATTGTTCAAGATGTAGAATCAACTGGACTCGTGATGGTAAGTTTCTTTGCTATGCTTGATTCTTCACGTAATACAGCAGAAAATATGAAATTGCACTTAATGTAGTTTTAACTCCCTATGCGAATTACGCGTTAACCTCTATTACGTGTAGAGAATATTCTCATTCTGCTGTTTCATTTTGTGATAAAGATGGAATTTTGCTCCTTGAGATCAATAGAATGCTGCGGGCTGGAGGATACTTTGCCTGGGCTGCACAGCCTGTTTATAAGCATGAACCCGCTTTAGAAGAACAGTGGACAGGTAACACTCTTTTGATCTGCTTTAAGTAGACCTGTAATTTAGGGGGAAGAAGATTCTTGTGTTTCTATTGAACTTATTGGAGTTGATGTGTTGTGGCACCTACTTGTGTTGGTGCAAATGAGAAATATGGAATGTCGGAATGACAATGCTTTTCTTTTGCAAACTGTCGTAGTTTGTCTCTGTGGATAGGGAGAGTTTTTTTCTGTTTCCATTTGTTACTTTGATTCAGCCAATATGTCTACTCCTTTAATCCCATGTTTTGGTGCCCAGAAATGCTGAACCTTACTTCTAGCCTTTGCTGGAAACTGGTTAACAAGGAAGGATACATTGCAATATGGCAAAAGCCCTTCAACAACAACTGTTATCTGAGTCGTGAGGCTGGAACCAAACCTCCTCTTTGTGAGGAATCTGATGACCCCGATAATGTTTGGTACAACTGCTAAACATTTTGTCTTTCTTTGTTTGTGATACAAGGACATAGCTTGCTACGTGCATCTGGAAGCATTAGAGCAAATCACTATAGGCTAATTGTTCTTTATGCTGCCATAATTGCATTTAAAACTTCAAATTCCGCCATTTGTCTGATCGCATCTACCCTACAGATTTGGTCTGTGACAATATGTTAAAAAAAATCACACTTTCTGTGTCTCATGTTTTTTTTCTTGCTTTAGGTACACAAACCTGAAACCTTGCATAAGCCGCATACCTGAGAATGGGTACGGAGGAAATGTCACCGCATGGCCTGCCCGTCTCCACACTCCACCTAATAGGCTGCAAACGATAAAATTTGATTCCTACATTGCTAGGAAAGAGCTATACAAAGCAGAATCAAGGTACTGGAATGAGATCATTGGGGGTTATATCCGTGCCTTGAAATGGAAAAAGATGAAATTCAGAAACGTTTTGGACATGAGAGCAGGCTTTGGCGGGTATGAAATGATATCTCTGTTAAGTACGATGACGATATAATACCTCAGTATCTTAGCTTATGCTCTCTTTATTTGATTCCTTTGGTTTTGGCAGATTTGCAGCTGCACTAAACGATCATAAACTCGATTGCTGGGTTCTCAGTGTGGTTCCTGTCAGCGGGCCTAACACATTGCCTGTAATATATGATCGTGGACTATTAGGAGTGATGCACGATTGGTACTGCTTTCTCCTTACAATCTGTTAGATAAAAACATAGAATTATGAAACTTGTAGTTGAACCTTTGGAAATTAGTGAATCCCTTGAGAGTATTTAATGATTCCTCGTTCTTTTCCTGCTCATGCTCACAGATTTTCATCTGTTATCTGGCTTAAGTTAAACTAAGACTTGGATTCTGGCTCTACATTTTTGTAATAAGTCTTGCATTTTACCCACAGGTGTGAACCATTTGATACATACCCAAGGACATATGATTTCTTACATGCCTCAGGGCTCTTCTCAATCGAGAGGAAAAGGTAACCGGTATCTGTAACTCAGTTTTTAAAGTGATTTATAAACCTGAATGTATGATCATTTAGTGCCTCTCTTTTGTCCGTCTGAATTATGGTTTATATTGTATCAGATGCGAGATGTCAAGCATATTGTTAGAGATGGACCGGATATTAAGACCCGGAGGACGAGCATACATTAGAGATTCAATCGATGTTATGGATGAAATTCAAGAGATCACAAAGGCTATGGGTTGGCATACTTCTCTGCGTGACACATCCGAGGGTCCTCACGCAAGTTACAGGATTCTAACATGCGAGAAGCGCCTCCTTCGAGCTTAATACCGGAAAAATCGCGGCACTTAGTCAACACACAGTATATTGTTTGGTAATATCTCTTATTGGTTTTTTTTTTTCTTTCATTGTGTAAACTGTAAATTTGATTGTAGTTGGTGTTTTACTGAGTAAAGTTTTACCTAGTTGTTGACTTTTAGTAAGAACAATTCTGCAATTGCAAATCAGTTGATTGTAACATCCAAAGAAACAAAAAAAAAAGCTCATGAGTTTCTCCAAGGTCAGAATACAATATTTTCCAAAAAATTATGTGAAGGAGCATCTCTGGACCATGTCTGCACAAACTCATTCTACTTCTCAGCTCTTGGTCTCCATTGACTTACTGGTGCAGGTCTTGCAAAGTTCACACCATTCATTTGACCTGGTGGCTTACCAATGCGACCTTGATTCTGACTTGAACCTGCAGTTGTATTTTTCACTGGTAGCTTCCCGTTCTTATATTGATTCTTCTGCTGGGTTTGAGTTTGTGTGATTACAGGCAAAGATTGGCCTTGGACAGGTGGTTGCACCGGCAGATTCCTGGGGTAGTTCTGAGACCCAGACCAATTCTGTTGCGGTCGGGGCCGTGCTTGTCCTGGCCAATATGGCGGATTCTGTACATTGTAGCTCTGTGACCAATTCTGCTGCATTTGGTGGTTCCATGGCCTAGACTGACCATGCGGAGTACGGGGATTGTGCACGCCATTTGAATGATGATGATTAGGGAGGCTTGGTCTGCACAAAGACTGTGAAATGTGTTGCTCTGTTAGAACCCCGATGATGGAATTTCTATTACAATTCAAGGCAAGACGGCTACATGTCATCTGAAATGCTTGTGCTATTCTGTCCAAGTTTTTACGGCTCACACTCCTTGCAGAATTCTCCGGTTGCTCAAAAGGATCTTCAACCTAAAGCACACACCATTTGCGGACTTTAGTCACAAGATTCAGCCACGAAGATGAATATAACTCAACAAGAGTGTTAAGAGAGAAAGAGACTTACAAAGAGTGAGTATGTCTTTGGTAGCCATGCAGTGTTGCTGCTTATGTTTTCCCATCTTCCAGTGAAAGGACAAACACCGAGTTCTTGGGCCTTTACGTTTATGTCTGAAAACTGATCAATACAGCCACACAGCAAATCAAGAGACGAATTTCTATCAAAAGATACATTAAGAGAAAGAAAAAGTCTACGCTAAAATCAATTCACCTTTGCAAAAAACGAGATTAAAAGCTCAGAGAGCGAGCTTCGATTGACTGGTTTTGACGTGCCTGATTTAAATCTCGCTATATTAGCAGCAGATAATTGCGCTATGCTTTCCTCTGCAGTTTTCCGCACACCTACAAGAGACCATGTCACTAAAACTTTCTTCCATTTATCCCAAAACCTCATACATTTTATGTGGGTTTGGCTTGAAAATCTTTACATAGAAAGTACCTTTCAGATCATCAACCGCACTCCTTGGATATATCTCTCTCAGAGGCGGCAAAATTGCAGGCATGCATGTCTGCAATAAACAAAGACAACATATTAAGACACCATGTTTTATAATGATGCAGTAACTGCAAAATGCAGCGGAATCTATGAGCATAGAACAGCTATCTTACCTGAAGATGGAAGATGACTAACAAACTGAGAGAGTAAGAGTTGAAAGTCCCGTTCTTTGGGTTGTTGATATTATGAGCTTTGGCCCATTCCTTCACCTATAAAGGTAGAATACACGAGATAGATATGACTGGGACCGATTAAACCTTTGGAAGCATACAATCTGGTTTTTTATTAGCATGTTAACCTACTAGCAAAACCAGGTCGCGGAATCTCCCATCAATCTCACTGATCCAGAACAAGAACCTGCTCTTCAGAAGCCCTTCCAGATTATCAATAGAAATGTCACAAGAAATTTTCTGGTGGCCGCTCACGACTTTCAGTATGGGAACTCGCGCATGAACAACAAATTGCAATCTGTACCAGAAACCTGTTTTTTTGCATGATAATGGAGATCAGACCAAATTGCCACATAAAAAAAAATACTTAAACTAGTAGAAAACTAGTGTAAGGCTAAGCAAAGGTGAATCACCTGACGCTCTCAGTGCTCGAAGTAATTGCCCAAGTAAAGTCTGTTTCTGCTTCTTTCCAGTGAACAAGATAGACGAACCACTGAATAAGTCAACAGAGATATCTAAGTCTCCCCATCGTGTGAAGAGATTTGACACAAAGGATCCAAATGGTTGAACCGTAGCACCTAACAATCCCAGAACCAGTAAATGAGCTAAAGCAACCTTTTTTTATCTTTTACATATCAGATGAGATAGTTTGTATACAGAACGAGAATAATGCGAAAGAGTAACATGAACCACTTTTATTGTTCTACTATCCCTTAATAGACTCAGCCGTTGAGAGTGTGATATAAAGCAAAGAGTGAGTATGTCCATATGGTTCAGGGCATTATTACAAGACAGTAAGAAATATGGGACAAGTGCATAAAGATTTATAACCTCTTAAGCTTTCTAGTGATTGTAAGACAGTACGCAACTGATCAATGACATTGATCCTCGTATCCCAATCTGCTCGTGTGGGTTTAATCACTTGAAGAATCTCTTGAAGGGTAGGATCAAGGATCGGGTTTCTATTCATCTTCTAGCTCCTCTACAAGAACACACATTCCTAAGTTATCTCAAAGAAAAACTTTAAGCAACAATGATAACACAAAGTAAAGTACTTGAGATGATAAAAAAACAATCTCTCGAAATCAAATGTAAAGGCTCGATTTTTTCTTATATCTCACTCGTTTACAACTCCAAAGGAACAAACTTTATCACTAAAACCAAAAAAAAAAGCAAAAATTCCCAAAATCGTCAAAAATTAAGCAACTTACGAACAAAAGCAAATTCCCAAAATCGTCTTCTTTCGAGCAGTGAAATTCCTGGGAAAATCAGGAATGAGCTGAAGAAACCTTTAAACCCTAGAAGCCAGAATCGAATTCCGATCTAAGGTTTTTCGACATCTCTATTCCCAAATCTAGCAGTCCGTACAGAGTGACCGTATTGAGATTGATCTCTGATAATTTTGATGGGCTCGAAGGAAAAATACACTGAAGACAATGAAAAGTCTCCTCTTACGAGGTAAGGTTTTAAGGGGTTGTTGAATTATGAATTTCAATAGATTTTGAAAATCCAAATAAATTCAACTTTTATTTGATTTTCAAATTTTTTTAGTGAATTTTAAATGCTGGTTTAAATTAAGTGTTATTTACATATATTTGATTTTTGCACTAGATTATAATGGATTTGAAAATATTTTCATGTTTAAAATATAAAAATGTAAATAATACTTATAATTTTACAAATACTGATAATTGAAGTTAGACTACTTTACAAAGATTTGTACATATTTTAAGTAGATTTCCAAATCAATTATGAATAACAGGTTTTGTAAAAAGCGGCCAAAGAAGCCTGTATTTTAGTGAATGGGGTAATCTTTTTTTAATTGGTCAGTAAAATGATTAAAATATATATATAGCTGGACACTAAATTATCGAATTACAAAATAGTAATGGTGACACTAAATTATCGAATTACAAAATAGTAATGGTGTGGAATCATAAACATGAAAAATAAAAAAAAATCAATGAATGAATCGAAAGAAATCAAATAAACGAAAAATAGGATGAAATATGTTCGGTTGATTATGTAAATGATGAAAGTAGAGAAAAAGCAAGATTAGCAATAATTATGTACAACTAAAACTCTATATATTAATTTATATTGGTGGAAAAGGTAGGAGTGGTATAAAGATATATACAACATGTTTTCCAAA